AAATACATTGAGCTTTGTTCAATTCTATCTTTCATTTTGTTAGTTATTATTTTTATGGTAAATTCCCCTTCCAAGTCTGTTCTTGAGGTTCTAATTAGCAGAGCATGAAATGACTCCAGGGAAAATTATTGCGAATTTTTAGATAGAAGTTATCAATTGAAACGAGACTGCAGCCAGATGACTGTAAATAGTAAGTTCTGGGGGCAACCAGGGCAGAAGTTCTCCAGAAAGTGCTGTTTAAATCTGCCCTTCTTAGTTTCTTCAGAAATGATCAAGAAAGGAGATCAAGCTGCATATTACTGCTGCTTACAGGTAATACTGAGGTGGGAAAGGTTGTACCCATTAGAGAGGAGAGAGGAGAGAACCAGAATCTTGCAGAGAAGAGAACAGAAATTAGAGTAAACTCAGCAAACTAGAGCAGGGAAACAATCCCAGAGCCAAAAATCCATCTGAGAGACAGACAGACGGACAATCAGAATGGTTAACAATAATGCACTTTGGAGCGATAACAATGTGCAGTCACAACACAACACAGCTGTAAACAGGGTTGATACAGCTCCGCACTCAGAAACATCACTCTGTGGAGCAGCCAGTTACAGTGCTGGTGTACGGCTGGGTTAAGACTGAGTTTTTCTGTGCAGCTTTGAACCTGGACATTTTCCCTCTTGTGGGATTGTCCTTCTCCTGGTGGTGACCAGGAGTGTGATGGCAGTCATGGGAGCAGTGCCACGGCAGGTCCTGCTGAAGGCCTCTGCGCTGAGGTGAATGCCTACGCTCTGCAGCACCTCTCCTCCCCTCTCCTCAACTCCTCACCAATCTCCCTGGTGTGTTTTCCTTCAAACATCTATCCACACTGTGTTTCTTGAGATGGCTCTTCCTTAGACGTGCTGGGGGCTGCTAAATACCTTAGGGTCTCAGACCATTTTTACTTGTGACCATTAAACCATTTTGCCTGCTTCTAATTCCAAATTCCCACTAGTCCATCAGTAAGGGATTATTGTACTCTTTATTTTTAATTGTAATATTAAGATCTCTTTTCTGTTATAGTGGAAAAGCTTTGTAAGAAAAGGAGCACTGCTCGGCATCCTAAATATATCTAGTTTGGAGTAGTGTATTTCCTCTGCAAACTTATTCAGTAGCCAAACCTTCTTGACATTTATCTCCTTTTCATCTCCCGTTTCACTCACTTCATCATGGACTTAGTCAACTGCATTTTCCCAAAGGAGCAGGAGTGCCGTGATGAAAATGCAGACTCAGATGTAACTGACTTTACAGTCAGTAGAGAGCTTTGAAGACCTGAGCTAATATCCTGGCTTGGCAGACAGCACAAAGTGAGAGTCAGCACAAACACTGGGCCTCACGAGTGAGCTGCTCTCTGCAGTCTGAAGCAAGATGGAGCCTGGGAATGGGCTCACCTTTAATCCTGGATGAGGGACCCTAATCCTTGATCCTTCTTGTGAGCCATCTCTCATCCCAGAAGAAGGTATGAAAAGTTTTGCGCTCTTGAGAGAGTGGCAAGGGCGTGCAATAGAGGGACTGCATGGGACCAAAGAAAAAAGGTGACAGAGGACCAGCTTCAAGCCTGAAGGAAGTTGGAAATAGAGAGAAATACTAAAAAAAAAAAAAGTGATATTTTATTTATCCGACTGCCTTTAAAAATCTAATTAAATCATTTTTTTTGGTAATGATATATTTTTCCTTATTTTCTTTCCTTCAGTTACAATTTCTCCTCTTTCCTTCTCCCTTTTTCCCCCAATACATATGGTCATGTATTTCCATATTTCCAGATACATACCAACCAGGCCAACACTGTGCATTCAGTTAGATATATGTAATCAAGCCCAAAAAAAGTTTGAAAGAAAAATGGGTGTGCTTAGGTGGGTAGTTGGGCAACACTTGACCCAGATGGCACACATCAAAATGGCAGCCATCAAGTCCAGGAACTCAGAGCTATCCTATGAAAACCTGCCTTTGCCTTGTGAAACATCACATGTAAAAGCACTGCAGCAGATCTTATTGGCAGGACAGTCTTGAGCAGCTGCTGTTTGGCACTGAGATTGGTCAAGATTTTGGCAGAGGTTACTGAGGCAGTGGCTGAGCTCATAATCATTTCTGTCTTTTCCAATGTCTTATTTGGTCATATGGCACTTGTCTGTTGAGGGGCTGCCAGGAGTCCTGGATTCAATGTCTGGGATTGTTTCCTACCCACATGTAGTCTTGATAATTTTCTCTCTTCAATCTTTCTTCCTGTTCTGTTTCAGGAGCCATTGAACTTTTTAGCATTATTAGATAAAATTTCCAACCTTTACTTGAAAATCTATTGCTTGAGGTGGGTACTCAGTCCAGCCTGTTCTCCAAGGAGTGCTGCAGGAAAAAAAAAAAGGGGGGGGGGGGCAGGGGGAAAACCTCCTCACAGTGAACAGCAACGTCAGTGGTCAGGTCAGTTACCTGGTGGTGGTAAGTAGGATGAGTGCTCATGCCGCTGTTTTGACTCTCACAGTGACATTTAGCTGCTCATGGGCTGGCACTGCAGTGATCTGGTTGGCATGTGTCTGCCCTTTTCTTTTATAGAGACCCCTGAAGATGGGGATCACTTTGCTCATCTGAAGGGTTAGCTTGTCTTCTAGGTCTCTGTTTTGTCACCATTCCTGGTCAATAAATGTATGCTGGGGTGTTAATGAGGAAAGTTGTGACATGTTCAGTGAACTATTAGCACTTCCTTATGCCTCATCCGTCTCCGTGTACTTCCGTCTCTAGGATTTCTGGAGGTTAGACAGTAGCTGGCAGAAATGAGGAGACAGACTCCTAGAGGAAAGTAGGACTGGAAGGCACTCGCCGAGGCCATCTGTTCCTCCTCTCTGCCACATGCTGTGATCAGCTATACCTATCTCATTCTTCACAAGCACAAGCTCCTAAGTGATCTCTTCCCATGCTTCCCCTCTGCTCTCTCTTTCTCTTTTTCATTCATTTTTCTCACAATGACTAACCCAGATCTTTCTTGACAAATTTTGTATGGACTTATCTACTTTCCGTGATCATGGAGGATAGATTTTTTTATTCTCCCTTTAAAAGTTTTGTACCTGAGGATTGTTTCTTGTCCATTCTCGATCTTCCCACTTCAAGTTATACAATGCCAGCTCTTTCAGTCTTTCCTTGCAGAATATGTCTCCTAGATCTCCTCAATCCTAGATGTGATTCTCATGGCTCTTTTGGACTCTCCCCATGGCTTCACATTTTTCCTGAAAGTCAATGTCAAAATTCTACTCAAAACACTAAGTAAAGTCTCACCAATGCTGATTAGAGATAAAGATTGTTCCCAGAGGTTTTGACATGTAATATTTACTCCTCACAGTAGGAGGCTTCCTTTTTTTTCCAGGAGCATAATATTTTTTTTGGCTTGCCTTGAAATCCATTCTAACCTCTAGCTCTGCCTAATAAGTTGTTTGCCAACTCCTGTTTCCGCATCACTTTTTTTTTTCCTGCTGCACTGACATTCTTTGCATGGTTTCTTATTGACTTTCATTTATGCTTTTTTCAACCACTTTCCCAATTTGCCAAGATCATTTTGAATGCTGAGCCTGTCCTCCAGTGTACTTAAAGTGCCTTCCAAGTTTGTGTCTTCCTAATGCGCCCATTCTCTATTCTGTCATCCATGCTGTTAATTAAATCACTGAACAGAACCAGACCCAGAACCCATCTTTATAGATACATCTCAATACATCCTTTATCTTAATAGTGAATAGTAAGCTATTCTCTGAGCACAGTTTTCCAAGTAACTTTGTATCTACCTTATAGTAGCTCCTACTAAATTATGTTTCTCGGCTTACTTATTAGAATATCTTTAGATATCTAAATCTAAATGGCCTACTGAAGTCAAGATACACAATATCTCCTGCTCCCTTCTTACCTACAAGACCCGTTGCCCTGTCACAGGAAATCAGAGGGATTTGGAAAAATTTATGTTTGACAAATGCATACTGAGTCCAATAGATTGCCTTATTTTCTCTTTGGTCTTTGCAAAAAAATTGGTTATTTACTCCAGAGTTTTTTGTGAGAAAAGGAATTAAGCTGATCGGTCCATAATTACTCAGCACCTTTTCCTTTACTTTTTAAAAATCGGTACTTGTTTTGTCCTGTTCCAGTTGTTTTCTGTACTCCACAACATCTGTATAGCTTCTGAGAGACAGCCATTACTGATTCTGAGATAGCTTTAGCCAAAACTCTTAAGTGGCTACAATGAAGCTCATCACACCCAATATA